GATTAGAGGGAAAGGAGATATCCTACTCAGGGCCTGCAAGGTCTCAAGAGGCCAGCGCTGAAGTGAGTACGCGTCCATCGATGGTGAGGACAGGGTGAGGCAGTCTCGAGAATGCGGTCAATAACTGGCGGTGGTCAGCATACTGATCTTGGGAATGTCCTGGGAGGCAACAGTTGGGGTTCAGGTTCGAAAGAGTCAGAAGGAGCCGGTCAGACGTCACAGGAGGCTGTCTGGATTCTGCAGTCTGCAGCTTGGTGGGCATCCAGCGTTCAGGTCCCAGCGGCGATGCCCCAATACCCGTCGTATCCCTCCTTCGGAAACATGGCGACTCGGCGGGCTAGGGGATGGGACGGACACTTGGATGATGTCGGTGGAGGTCGCCAGCGCGTCGTGGTGGATGGATTGGACGGGCCCAGGGAAGAGAAAGTGTGGGTGGATAGGTGGATGAATGCCGCAGGACACGGCGAAAGGAAGTCCAGGTTGACTTCCTACTCAGGTATGGACTGGATGGTATTCTCGGGTGCGAGAGAGGGGGCGGGATTGAGCCATACCCGGTGGTTCTTGGTCGGCAGTCAGCGGTGTTTGTGGTATTGAAGAACTGAGGTTGGAACCTTGGTATTCCGCATACCTCAAGATGGCGAGAGTCTGTCTGAGTGAGGAGTAGCTGCTCTGGTGCAGAGTGAAAGCGAGGCATAATGACTAAGTGTAAAGTCGGTTATGCAGTGTGCGTGCGAGATGCCCCGTCAGGCTGGGGAATACCTAAGATACCTATCCGTACGAATACTCCGTACTCCTGGCGTATTCCGTACCGTACCTACCTACACAAGAATAAGAACAAGAACAAGAAGGCACAATCATGCAGAACTGCTGAATAGACTAAGGTGCCTGGTGAATGCTGCGGGCGAGTGTCGGCAGGCGGGCGGGTGGGAATCCATGTGAAGAGATTTTCCCACCTTCCCTGTCTTGACACTTCTTGCCCGGTTCAGACGATTTCGGAGGGACATCCCAGAGTGACTTCCTGCTTTCCCAGTTCCCACCCAAGGTACTCCGTAGCACGGTAGGTATCTTCTCTGGTTTGGCGAGTGCTCCTGCTGGCTACTGCTGCTCCTGCTCGGGGTTGCTTGTTGTCGGGTCCCCGTTTGCCCCGACGGCACTTTCCCATTCGCAGCCAACTGCAGTCGGGTAAGGTACGACTCGCAAGTCTGCACCTGCAGGCCTGCTCAGATTCGTGGTGACCTCGGAGAAGTGAGGTAACGTACCCAAGTTAAGGTACAAATGCATCCAGCGTGCCATGGAACGCCCACCTCGTGCTCATGCCCATGCCGCTTGTCGAATTTTTCTTCAGGTGCCGTTCCCCTGCCTGCCTGTCACTGTCTGCCTGCCTGCCCGCTGCCCCCTCCCTGCGTCCGTCGTTTCTTGTCATTGTCACTACCCTACTTTGGAGAGGTAGTTTACTGTGTACGAATACATACCAGGTAGTCGACGGATACCCGTGCTTAATTTACCACTCACAGATGCAGGAAAAGGCTGTGGATGATCGCCAGTGGGTGCGTGGTGGGTTTGACGCTAAATACGCCATGGATTTTGCGGATTCCTCATCCATGGGGTGGCTCTCAAGTCCCGTCCTGGCAGGGAAAAAGCCTCGTCAGGACCAGGGCTTAGGTTCATTGAGGGTCGGACGGGGGCCATCGTGGCATCGTCACTGGGCCCAATACAGCAGGTACGTACGCCTTACCTAATTAGACCCGGATCTTATCAGATTTAGATAATCAGATCATCAGATAACTCGGGCAAAATGATGCCAACCGCGCCAAAAATTCCCGCAAAACCAGCAAAACCGCACAACCACCTACCTTACCTTACACTCAGCACACCCAACCAATGTGCCAATCTTGAATGAGGTGGTCCCGTCCCAGGCTAAAAACCCCACTGCCGCAAACTCCGACGAGGCGACATATCCTCGGTTGACTGCTCTCAGCCTGAGTACCTTATTATCGAAGAAAGTTAATTCTTTCTAAGTCACAAGTACAAAAATATAGTTTTAATAAAATAGTATAATACCTACTTAGTACTTAAATTAAAATACTTTTTTAAGCTTATTATAAAAAAAAAATAACTATACTACTAATTACTTATTATCGAGGTCTATAAATAGTGCTATAGCTTTAATTACTATAGCTTTAACTATAATAGCTTCGCTTATAATAGGTAAAAAGTCTAGTTATAAGTCCTTTAAAAGCCTCTTATTAAGAGCTATAAAAGCCTCCGAGTTAAGTTAAAATACTTATTAAAATATTAATAACTAAACTAACCCTATAATAACAACTTTAATAAAAGACCTAAAAAAAAACACTAAAATCCTTGCCGTTATTAAGCATAATTTACGAAGTATAGTAACGTAGTTATAAAATATTATTAATATATCCCACGCTAAAAAGGGTATTATTAGTATTAATAAAATAGATAAGGCCGTATTAATATAACGCCTCGGCTTCTTTTTATAGTTTAAAAATAATTACCTTAAATAATATTAAAAATCTATTAAAAAGCTTTCTTAAGTACTTTAATATATTTATTACTATCTTTATAATAATAAAACTCCCGGTACTTATATATAAAAGTAGGTTATTTATCTCTAAATAGTAATACTAGCTTATTAATAAGCTATCGAAACTACGATTTTAGTAATTCCTTAACGAGGGAGAGGGTAGAATAGAGGAAAGGATAGGAGACTTATAAAAAGGGTTAAGGTTAAATAGTGCGGAATTCGAGGGCAGGGTAGCGTCTATATATACTGCGGCAATCCTTTAGTAATACAAAACGATAGAGTTAAACAGTGGACTGCTCTTAGCTATTCGTCTCTTTCTTCCCCTTCCTCTCGATTTTTTTTTTTTTTTTTTTTTTTTTTTTTTCTTTTTTCCCCCCCGTTTCCAATTCTCTGTGCGGCTCATTGGCATATCGTGCCACAAATGTAGTACACTTCCCAGCCGCTGCAAAGCCATGAATCACCTCAACGCTCGCCAATGGATCCGGGGGGCTCTTGCGAGAAACCTCCAGTGTTTCCCCATATTCCCATCGCCCACGTTGTCGCCCGCAAATCTGGCTGTCCAGAGCTGCCCAATCTCCGCCTCGACTCCGGTCTCCGGCCCGCATTCTTCGTGATACGCCGGAACAGGATGTTGCCTTCCCGCTTCGCTTACCCGTACTTGACATTGTGCACTACATACATCCTGAAAGAGGCAAATTGATAGTCCTCTAGCAAACTGGCAAGGTACCACCATGCTGTGGGTGGCTGTCTCCCTCAAGAACAGAGCCTTCACGTTAATGATAGTGGCTGTAAGTCACTGCATGCTGTGTGGCATGGATAGCTCCAGGAGAGAAAGATACGTACTGCAACGGATTCTTTCCACATCTTGTCAGATTAGATCCATCACCAAGTGCGTCTTGGAAGGGAGGCAAAGTACCTCATTCTGCATAATGCCAGGGCTCACACTACTGCGAGTGTAAGTATTCATTCATTCATTCACTCTCTCCTCTGCGCTAAGGCAAGGTCCTCTCCCAATACTACGCAATGGGCTTATGGATGCATTCTAATAGCCTCGTACTCTGTACAAGTACGCATCTTCAGTCCTCGGGGTTGATGCCGACACACCCCCCGGGGCCCAGCAATGGCACACCTTGGAACCTCAATCCCGAGGTCTTCTCGTGAACCCCCCGGTCTCATTGCCCGCTCTCGGAGCAAAGCTTTGCACCATCTCAATCGCCCGACTCATGTTTTCTTGGTGATCCTGCCGCCTCCACAGCGCGCATTGGATCGCATGTGCCCCGGTTTTTCCACATTCCACAACCCGTCAAGTCTCTAGGTGACCATCTGCGACACAACCTGCATCTTGGCTCCCTTCTTTTCGAGCTTCGAGACTTGTTCGACAGACACGCCGCAGCCCTGTGGTACAGATCAATTGAATGAACAAGAAGCCGGTTTGCAAAAGAATACCTTGAGTAGGGAAGAACTTTTGACAATGGTACGCCGTTCTTGCCTAGGATGGTCCTCTAACCTGTAACAGTTTCGCGCATAAGGTGACTTCCGGGGCACCTAAAGTTGATTGTCTTTTCTTTCATGTTCCATTCCCAAAAAAAGAGAAGCCTCCACCGATACATGAGTTTCCATGATTCTACCTTACCTCAGTGCAAGGAGGGATAGAACAGACCAGGCAGGTAAGGTAAGGTAAGGTATGCGTACTCAGTAGACACTTCCAAATAAAACAACTAAAAGTTCCAGGTTTTGCGTGTACGAATACGTAGGCATACGTACCTGAGGCATGCAGCTAGAAAAGACACAGGTACCGTGGAGGTACGTATGGAAGGTTCGCGACGTCAGGAAGGCGGCATAGGCCCGTTCTTAGCCTCCCTCCCTCCTACCTGGGACGGCCTTGAACCGAAGGAAGGAAGGAGGGACCTGAGAGATTTGATCTTATCAGATCCGAAGATAACCCCGAAATCGCATCATGACCCCTCCCCCGACTCCACTTGGTCGTGCAAACTGTTCATCATCGATTTTTTTCTCTCCTCTTGACCTGTCATCGTCTCACCCCTCCCTCCCTGTTCACTAACGCATTTTTTTTTTGTATGTACTTCGTCCCCTTCGCTTCCCACATCTTCGTCTCTCCTGCATCTAGGTCCCCCGTCCGATTTCTGCATCGCGACCAATTTGGAGTGGGTCTTACTGGCACCATCGATCTGCAACATCTAGGAAAGCGTCGCCGACAAGTTTCTCGTAAACCGACGGCTTTGGCCTGGCCTACTGCACGGAGCATGGCTACTTTGCCCGTGAAGTTTCTTCAAGCCACGCCTCGATGTCATCGCCCTTGTCCGGCGGCTTCTAGTCTCAACGGCCAGTGCCCGAGCAACCCAAGTACTTCACCGACGTGAAGCATTCCAGTACACGAAAGAGACTCGAGACAATATCATAACAAGAGAGATAACAAATACTATATGACGAACAGACAAGCTCTCGGCGAGGCGAGGACTCGAAAAAGTCCCAGATACCAGGAATTACGGTTGAAATCGGACAGAAGAAAAGCATCGATCGATACCTTGATTGCCTCAGACAAGCATCAGCTGAGCCTTTCCAGGGTCCAGTCAACGTCGTTGTCATCCCCGCGTTGGGAAAACTGTTCGTTCGTCGGGTCGCCTATGGTCCATCGTCGTCGCTAGGCTTTAACGCTCGAACCGTCGTCAGGCCTTCAATCGCTTCGGTATTTTCATTCTAGCTTCTGTGCCTCCGGTCCATCCCTCCCGTCCGCTCCACTCCTGTGGCCCGGCACATGCAAACGAGCCAGCGACGCCAAGGCGTGCGACCGCCGCTCGCCGCCGCTGATGCTGGACACCATCTCAGACGGATTGGTTCAATGGTTATGGGGTCCTGTTCTTCATTGCTTTTTCCGTCCTCGTGCAATCGACAATGCAGTGCTGCTCTCGACTTTACCTTAATCTTCTCCGTCAACCGAAGCGCATTTCCCACTCTTGTCTGTGTGTACATACATACAACCCTTCATTGCACCCATCCATCATCCACTCGCCCACTCAAGAAGTTCCTCCATTCACCAAAGGACCACTTACACCACCTATGTACGGACACAAAGTACCATGGACATGAACTTGGCATGGGTTCCAGTCTGCGAGACCCAGACCAAGACCCAGGACCCAGACCCTCCCAGGGCATCCCTTACTAGCGAGCCCATCTCTGGAGTCAGCCCGTTGCGACTCTGTCCCTGGCCCCAACCCCTGGATGTGGAAAGGCGTCCGTTGTGGATGGCTTCTTGCTTTGAGCCGAGCTGGCGCTTCACTCTTTGCGCCCACGAGGTACGCCAATACCTATGGCAACCACCTATACTACTCCGTACCGTCACTACCCACGGCATTCTGCGCAGCTCTTCTCCCAAGAGAGATGGGCCAGCCAGGGTCCTGTCCTGTCCTCTATAGGCTTTCTCCGGCAGAATGACAGGATCGCGGCATCGACGTTGCCCCATTCGCGCGAAGAACCGAATGTTGCAATTTGAGTAGGCTCCTCCAAATACGTCTAGTCCCTAGCCTCTGGGGCGTGTAACCAAACGATAATGTACAGAGTACGGATACCCCCTACCCAGTCCCAATCTCCATCTGCTCGTTCGTGAGCTCCGAGGCGAGGGTCCAGCGGTTCAGCTTCGAACTTGTCGGTCGATCACGCCGCCTCAATGGGACGCGGGCATCCATCGACGTCTGCCCGTTTTGCATATTAGCCCCTCGGTGCCCCTCCTCTCCTTCCCATGCGTCTCTTGATTCTTCTTCACCAGCTCCCATTTCTCTCCTCAAGCCTTCTCTCAACCGCCCATTCAACCGGTGGCCCAGCTTCATTATACCCAAAGGCTTCAACCAGATACGCCACTCTTTGAGAGTCGATGACGAACAGTGTGGCTTGAGACTACTTTGGATCAATCACAAGGAAAACGCCAGGATTAGACGAAAAAAAAAAGTTCTAACCACTCCCAAAAATACCCCGCGTAGTTTCGCACCCGCATCCCACTTTTACACCGGGCTTTTATTCAAACCGTCTCAAAATCGAAAAGTAACGCCCTCAAGGTCAGTTGATGTGCTCCCACTCTTCCGAAAGAGTGAGATTTCAAAGGTCATGAAGCTGATGGTTTTAAAGCCCCTGCTCTTCCCGCTCAGTTGCATTGTCACTGGCACATTGATCGACCCATTCGCTCGTCAAATAATACCCCCAGCCGCTGTTTGCGACTTGTCTATATACCCAGCACACGCATACTTACACCAAACCACGTAATTTGAAACCCCCACCACCACCACCACTACCTATCACCATGTCTCCTCACTGCGACTCGCCGACCAACGGCTCCGATGCCGGCAGCGGCTTTTCTTCCTACAATGGTAACGGCAATGGCTACGCCAACGGCAACGGAGCCGCCTACCAGAACGGCAACGGTGTGAATGGCCACCAGAACGGTGCCTCCCGCATCCAAAAGTCCCAGTACCTCCAGCCCACCGACCACAGCGATATCCACGACCTCATCTGCGTTGGCTTCGGCCCCGCCAGTTTGTCTGTTGCCGTCTCCATGCACGACTTCCAGGAGGCCGGCCGCCAGCTCACTCCCGGCTCAGCTGCCGCCAAGGTGCTCTTCCTCGAGAAGCAGCCGGCCTTCGCATGGCACCCGGGCATGCTTCTTTCCGGCGCCCGCATGCAAATCTCCTTCATCAAGGACATGGCCTCCCTGCGCAACCCTCGTTCTCAGTTCACCTTCCTCAACTACCTCCACAGCAACGACCGCCTAGTTGAGTTCACCAACCTGGACACTTTCCTGCCCGCCCGCGCCGAGTACGAGGACTACCTGCGCTGGTGTGCTCGCCACTTTGACGATGTTGTTGAGTACGGCCGTGAGGTTGTCTCCGTCTCCCCCGACCCTCAGACTGCTGGCAGCATCAAGACCTGGACCGTCAAGTCCCGCAACATCAAGACCGGCCAGGTCAGCTCCTACCAGACCCGCAACGTCCTGATCGCCAACGGCGGCCAGCCGCGCATCCCCAAGGTCATGCCCGCCAACCACCCGAAGATCATCCACTCCTCCCAGTACGCCCAGCTCGTGCCGCAGCTTCTCAAGGACAACTCGAGACCCTACAGAGTCGCCGTCATCGGTGCCGGCCAGTCTGCTGCCGAGATCTTCCGCGACGTCCAGCGCGCGTACCCTAACGCCAAGACGTGGATGGTGATGCGCTCCGAGTTCCTCAAGCCCGCTGACGACTCGCCGTTTGTCAACTCCATTTTCAACCCCTCTTACGTCGACGAGCTGTACCCCAAGTCTCAAAGCTACCGCCGCTCTCTCATCAAGGAGGCCAAGGCGACCAATTACGGCGTCGTGAGACTCCAGCTCATCGAGGCCCTGTACGAGATGCTTTACCACCAGAAGCGCACCCTCGGCTACGACGAGCGCAAGTGGCCCCACCGTATGCTCTTCGGCCGTGACATCACTCAGGTCACCGAGAGCAAGGAGACCGACCGCCTGCAGATCCACGTCCGCCGCCTCGAGGACGCCGCCGGCGACAGCCTTGAGGATGGCTTCGTCAACCAGCTGCCCGGTGACGAGGTCCTCGACGTCGATCTGATTGTTGCGGCGACTGGATACCAGCGCAACGCCCACATCGACATGCTCCGCGACAGCTGGAACCTGCTTCCTGAGATCACCCCCGCCGGCAATGCCAGCGAGCGCGAGCTTGTTGATGGATGGGAAATTGCCGGCCCTGACGCGACCTCGGGATCGAGGAAGCTTGAGGTTGGACGCGACTACCGTGTGCGATATGCCCCTGGCGCTGTGGCGCCTGATGCTGGTGTTTTCTTGCAGGGATGCTGCGAAGCGACCCACGGAGTAAGTTGAACCCCGCCAACTCATTTTTCCCTCATCACCCCCTTACATCTGGGACATTGTGACTGACGAGCTTCCTCCCAACAGCTGAGTGATACCCTGTTGTCAATTCTCGCCGTGAGATCGGCCGAGGTTGTCGACTCCATCTTCCCCTCTGTTCCGAGGGCCAAGACCGTTTCCAACTAGACGTGATTTTTTAACGACTTTATTCTTATTAGAGAGAGGGATGGGAAAGACATTTCATGAGTCTCTTTTGGATTGGTCATTGGCATGGGACATGTGTACCTGATGACATCTCTTTGTGTATGTGCCCTTGGGCAGGGTTCTTTCTCAACATCTCTTCGGAGCTTGTGAAGAACTAAAAAAAGACATGGCGCGGAGTTTTATCTGTTTTTGATTTTTCACACGAATTCCATTATTCCTGCTTCAATAAATCTTCAACTCTTTTTTTTTCCCCTCTCGAGACGTCACTGATCCCCATCCAGAGAAACTGCTCTTACATTTATGTGATATCTGGCTCTTGTTTATATGATGGTTTATATGGAATAGTTATTACTGTACAATTGCGCGTCGTTGTGTTCAACCCAAGCCACAAGTTCTTCATATATCGGGCCATCCTCCGTCGTCATGGGATATAATAATACATGGCTTGGGCCGGGCGGGAAGATTTGATGCTGAGAATATGATGTGGATGGCGTGTTGATGCTGCTGCTAACGTTCGTTACGTCGTCCGACGTTAGGCCAGGGGTAGAAGGACCTCCACTGACACCACCAGCGCGGGCGGTATAGACAGCTTGGCTGTCCAGTCGCAACCGCTGAACTATAGACTGGAGGTCTTTCAGGACGGTAGCGCAGTCCCGAGCGTAGTTGCTTTCTGTCTTGGCCTCTTCTTCAAAGACGCTGATGGCAAAGTTGACGTTGATGTCGTCGGGCTCCGTGGCTGGCGAGAAGACGAGAAGCTCTTCCAGCATGAGAATAATGGCGGCGTTGAATATGTAGTGCAACCCTGCTTGCAAAAACTTGCGAGTGCCACCGTTGAGACGCATCAGCCAACGAGCGAGGTACAAGTTTGCATGCGCCGCCTTTGAGCAGGAGCTTATGCGGTCTGCGTGGTGTGAGAATTCCCAACGACGGTCTGAGGTGATGTAGCGCTCGGCAAAGGTCTTTTTAACAGCAGCGAAGAAGATGGGGCGGACGACAAGGATGAGAAGCTGCAGATCCGGGAAGACTTTGAGTTAGTACGGGGTTGCGACTGTCCTCTATATTCCCAGACTGGGAGAGGGGTGTCATGAGGTGGTAGGAGGGGGAAACGTATAACCCCATCCTTATTCGGAGACGCAACGCAAGGAGGGAAAGGAAGGCGGTGGGGCAAATCAAGCTTACCTGGTTGTATGCCATATGCAGGAGACAGCATGAGGGATCGCTACTTGGATGAGACGTAGACATTTGCAGGGTGGGCGGCAGTGATGACTGCCAGCTCCCGAGCAACTGCAGCGCTCGGTCGATGTGCCGCGCCGCACCTCCGGGACCACGATCCCAGGGGGCGACTCTATACGTGTTGCAGACAATGTGGCCCGAAATGCGGGCCAGCTCGACGTGGGCTCGAAGGCCGGCTGCAGGGGGTAAAGATCCTGGCTTTTCACTACACGGGGGTTGACCATTGCGTTAGACGAGTGCCTTATTGCTTCGACGGGAATCCATCATCGGAGATCTCCGTCAAGTAGGATGCCAGAGGACTGGGACAGGGAAGGGGAACCTACAGATCATCGCAAGGCAGTGGTAGCCGGATAGCATCGTCCATGATAATGGGAGGACGGCCCATAAGACAGCTCAACCAGCGATCGAGAATATAAAGAGTCCAGAAAACGCGTTTCCCACGCTCGTCGACCCAGCCACGGTGGGCGCCGTGCATAATGGATATATGCATGGCATTGCTTACGTAGACGTAGGCTGCATCGCGGCGGTTCATCTCGATAAGGTAGAAGCCCATCAGTGCTAGAACAGCAACGTCGCTGATGGTATACCGGGTGATATCGAGAGGGTTACCTAGGAGAAGGCGGGCGCGGGCGAAGTAAATCTGGCTCAAATCTTTTGGGACCAGCATCGAACTCGCCGTGGTATTGGCTTGACAGGCGACGGCAAAGGCGGTATGGTAGAATGCAAGATGACGATAGTTGTCGGAGACGACCTGTTGAGAGGTCCCGGACGGAAACACCTCGGGCTTCACGTCGCCAGACACGGTGGGCGCTGGCGGTGGTTGGCTGAGATCGCCCCACCAGTAGATGCCGCCGCACGGGAATTCGCTGTTGCCGTCTTGGATGAAGTTTCGGAGGTCGGCAAGCATACCAGCCATTTCGTCCCGAGAAGGCAGTGAAAGAGGGTCCACGTTCGACTCAACCTCAATCGGACGAGAGTCGTATGTCTGATAACTGCCAAGGGAAGAAAGAAATGTCAAACCGCTAGTTGGCGTCGGTGACAGCCATTGCGGGTTGTAAGCAAGTGGCAAG